TACCTATCGATTTCATCCGTAAGTCAATTCATATAATTTGGAAGGGTCGATATAAACACTTTTTCTGCTAAAATAGTCTAATGAGAAACTATCTATTCACGAGTTAACATTAATTTGAAACCTTAGAGCCAAATTAAAACAATTAATTATGTGTAGTATATCCAAAAGTTTAGAGAAAATAATTGATATGTACTTGTTTGCCCTCCTAACTTGATACGAGAATATACAATACAAGGAGATTGGTTTGCAACAAATTAGTAATATCTCACTAATAGCATATTTGATCAAATTTTTACTTTTCAAAATAATACTTTTGCAGAAAAACTATTATTTTAGTTTTCGAAAAGTCAAATTCTACTACTCTTTAAAAACGCTTATTTTCTTTGAAAAGCTCGATCAAACACCTCACTTTTTTTTATACTATGTATATGGCAACAAATTATTAGTAATATCTCACTAATAGCATATTTGGTCAAAATTTTACTTTTCAAAAAGATATTTTTGCGAAAAAACTATTATTTTAGTTTTCGAAAAGCCAATTTCTGCTACTCTTCAAAAACACATTATTTTCTCTCAAAAGCTCGATCAAACACCTCGTTTTTATTATTTTAATAGTGTGTATATGCAAACAAATAGTAAACGGAGTAGGAACTACCGAACTCTTCATCTTACAATATCTTGTGCACCAAATCATGAATAGTGTAATAGTATAAAATCTATTTAGGTTATACATAAATAAATTAAACCACATGTGGGGTAAATTCAACGCGTTCTTATTTTATAATCTCACCGTTGTTATTTAATTAAATAAAACAACCAATATATTGGAAGTAGTGTTGGTAAAGTCCATTTAAACTATCAAAAATATTAGCTATCTTTTTCCTTTGTACTAAAAATAACAATTTGGAAACGTTACTCTCTGCTTTCCCTTTCTTGAAAACACAGTTTCTCTTCTTTTTTTTTTGACCGTTGTGTCTGGGCCAGCTTTGGTACACCTTAACTAATTTCACGGGATACCTGCTACCAGATGTAAAGAATCACCTAATATTTTTCGGAAACCTCAAAATTCTCAACCACTCGACGAAAAATTAGTTTCTCTTTATCTATGATTTATCTTCAACATTTGTTATTCACTAATTAATCTGTTTTTTTCAAGAGAAATATAATGTATGTTTAGGTCTAACAACAACCTTATTTTTTCGACCAATGAATTTTAATTTTCTGCACGTGGTATGTAGAAAAATATGCCAATAAAATTCAGCCACTTAAATTTTATGATTGTGAAAAGAAAGGTTTTAAAAATTTTATATGGATTTTTATAGGCATTTTAAGTTATGATTTATTCTTCATGGCTGAATATGAAAGTATATTGACATGAACGTGATTGGTTTCTACTATTTTTTATTAGGTTTCTAACTATTACACTAACTTTTTAAGGTTTTAAAATTTATTTTATAACAAGGGTTAGTATTAAAATTTGGACTTTAGTCTATCTTAATATTTGCAATAATGAAAACCACGCAAAATTTAGATTTTTTTATTTTAACCATTTACAGAATTATTAATTAGAACCTGTCAAAGGCTTAATAGTTAATTCTGAATAAATTAGTTAAGGTTTATCTACTTTAATTTGTTGTTCTAGAACATAGGGGGGGGGGGTGTTAAAATTAAAAAATGATTAACAAATCATTGTTGTTTGTTCACTTCAACAAGTAATACACAACTGTAAATATTTTGAATTTTTCTCTAATAATTTAGGATATTGACTAGCTAGGATTTCTTGTCGGCAAGGAAATATTCCGATCTGTTTTATATTATTTGTCTCATGTTGACTTAACACTCTTCTTTAAAAAAACTTTAATAAGAGGTCTGTTTTATTAAACTAATTTTATTAATGATGTTTCGAAATTCAAAATTTGACTACTATTATTTTATATAGTTATTTAATATTAAGTATAGTAAAAAAAAATTCTCTTGATTTATTAAAATGGACGAAAAAAATTAAAACAATCTATTTTAGACATATGGGGCAAGTTAAATGAAATGAGGGAGTAACAAACTTCCTTATGCCAGTTGGGAGCGCAATCCTTCTCTTAATGTGAACTTCAGACACCAGATGAGAAAAAAAAAAAACTTCCATATGCTATTTCCATTTAGTTAGACTTTTGAAGTTGAGGAAACTTCATTGGATCATCAAAATTATTTAGAAATGAGATTAGGTTATAAATGGTTTGGTTGAATTTTTCTTCAAGTTGTGAACCATGAAGAGGCAACGTAGAGAAAAGAGGAAAGTAGTTGGGAAAATTTCGAGAACAAAAAAATTCCTAAAATTGCACTAACTATTTGAGTAGAACCTATATAATTAATAAAGTATAAAATATTTTCACCGACAATATTAAAATTGTCACAGAACAAATTGGTGGGCTCCTAAATTTTATTCTTATGGTTCTTAATGTAATTGAACTCCAAAATATCTGAGAAGAACTTACTATTTAACAATTAAAGCACAGTTTAATACACTCAACGATGGATGCATATGTTAAAAATGGGACATCTTGACTTTGTTCTCTTTCTAAAACTAGATGTTTATGTATATATATTTTAAAATTAGTATAATATTATGGGAAAATTGTATGAAATAACAAATTATTAATTCAAATTAAATGATATAGTCATACTTTATTTTAATTGTAATTCGCAGCAAACATCTCCTTTTTTTGTCATCTGATTCGGTATACAATTAGCCATTTTCGATATACAATTAGCCATTTTATACATTTCGGTATAAAATGTATAAAATACGTTTGTGTTTGTATAAAGCGAGAAAAAAGCGTATATACAAATACAAATACAAATACATACATTTTCGTCCTAATACTCTTATAATTATACAAATATAGATCTTATTATACAAATTACAATGTGTAAATGAATTTATACAAAACTGAATAATTTGTATAAAATTAGATGTTTGTAGCGAATTATACAAATCAAAAGCTCCATAGCAAACATAAAATTTGCTATGGAGCGCAATTATGCAAACTATAGCTATAATATACAAATATGATTTTTATGTTTGCTATATGTGAAAGTTGCTCTAATATTATCTGTTGGCATGATCTAATATATTTTCTCCTTCTTTATTTCTAGTGGTGTACTCATATTTTAGAAATTTTAGATTTGGGTTTGATTATACACGCACATGATGATATTAAGGTCCTTAATTAGTCGTTACATAGTTATAATATTTAACTTTATTTTTCCAATAATATTTAACAGAAAATCTTAATTAACTTGTCGGTGGATCAGGACATCCTTTCTTCTTTCACCACATTAATATTTTGGCATATACTCAAATACATATCTATTAACATATAAATAATGTGGTGATTGAATAAAGTGTTTTGAGTAAATCTTATAATTAAGTGAGAACATAATTAAGAAACCGTTATTGGTGTCTGTCAAGTAGGTTTAAGCATGATAAATGACACAAGATTCACTGTAGCTAATGACTCATTTGTCTCTATTAGTGCTAGCTAGCTAGCCTAGCTTCTCAAAATTCTTTGAGATGGACAATTATTCTATTGATTATACAATTACAATATATATAAGTCAATTAGCTAGATGATGGTAATTGTACTTTATTTCATTTTTCACTCACACTTTCCTTTTGTTGAGGAATTATTGCATATATATGGGGCTAGCGATCATACAAATAGACCTAGCAAAAATATTTAGAAGCAACTAAGGTAATATTATCATGAATTTGTTTGACGTTTTTGTTAAAAATTGTTTATTTTTAGAAGTACTTTTTTTAAATGACTTTTTTAAAAAGTGTTTTTAAGAAAATTATTTGTGTTTGGCTAATTCATTTGAAAAATGATTTTGCTAAACAAATGGTGTGTTTGACTAATCTTTTTTAAAAATGCTTCTGAGAGTCAAATTACGAAAAATAGTAAGTATCAATGTACACTTAATATTAAGATTATTTTATAGAGGAAACTATTTTAAACATCTATTACAAAAAAATTAATTAAAATATAAATCGATATTATACATACATACATACATAAATAAATAAATAAATAAATAAAATATTAATATAATATTAACATGATGATTTAAATATAATTAAAAATATTAAGTAAAATAAATTTAAAAATAATTCCACAAATTAAACTACTATATACAAAAATTCACCACAAAAATAAATATAGTCATTAATATATTTAATCCTACAAAAATATTGTTGTTACCTTTGTTTCTAATTCGGTAAAATAAAACGTAAAATAATATATAAATATGAAATAATAATATATAAACATAAAATTTTAAAAAAATATTATATAAAAATAAATTCTTGAATAAAACATAATCAAGCTTATGAGATATGCTAATTAATTAATAAGGGATGTATTGATAAATATGTATATATTGAAGAGATATTTTGGTCTTAATAATTATTGTTTCTGCTTTTTTTAAGAAGCAACAATTGTTAGCTTCTCTTCTTCCCAACAATTGTTTCGACTTCAATTTAAAAACAATTTTAAGGATTTGTCAAACACTTATTTTTTCAAAAAAAAAGAAAAAGAATGTTTTAAATAAAAAAACACGTTTAGCCTCTCAACAACAATATCAAACAGAGACTACATCCGAAATTGCTAAAGCCTTTAGTAATATCTATATAAAATATTAATTATATTATTGCTGCTATATAAACTATAGTAGCAATCATATTATCGTCACTAAATAATTGCCGCACAATCCTTTATTTGTTTTGTAATAGTGAAATAGTCTCTTTTTAAAAAAATTTCATTAACTAGTTTGTTTTGATTAAACATAATTAGTAGAATTTGGTGTCAACTAATCCTTCCTTTAAATACAAGGTCGGCTAACCTCAACATCAAGTCTTCCTTGTCTCCTCTCTCTTTCTCTCTACACACAGACAAAAGTCATTACCATATAATCTTTGTGTTCTTTCTTAAACATTAGTCACATTAATCCTCAATTAGTTTGATAGTTAATTAATAATGGGGTGCAAATTGGCAGCTGAGAAGCCAAAGCAAAAGCACAAGAAGGGATTATGGTCCCCTGATGAAGATGATAGGCTCAAAAATTACATCATTAAGCATGGTCATGGCTGTTGGAGCTCTGTTCCCATTAATGCTGGTTAGTTTAATTAATTGATTAACTAATACTATAATCTTTCTTCATCTCTAATTCAAGTAGTGTAATTATATCTTATAATTTTCTTAGTAGATAGACATATATTTAGTTTTCTATCTTTACCAAATTCAAATGTCCTAGTTTAAGCGGTCGAACGTTAGAAGAATTTAACTTATATACACATATATTTTTACTTTTATCATATAGTTTAATCTGGAAATAAGCAAGCTAGTTGTATTACATCCTTGTCAATGACAACCACTATATATCATGCTTTTGAGGATTGGTGATGAGCATTAATTAATGTTGGGAGTAACTATATACACCAATAATTAACATGGTTAATATTGTTAATCCTTTTTGTCTATTCATAAAACCGAGATTTTTATTCACCGTAAATTATTAATGAAAAATTTATACTACTCCCTCTGTCCCTATTTAGTTGTCCACTTTAGAAATGACACACAGATTAAGGCAATAATAATTAACATAGTGAAGTTACAATTTCACCCTTATAGTATAATTTACTTCCAAAATAAATTCACTCAAGATAACTAATTAATGCTGGAAAGTTCATAAGTTTATTTACTTTATTTATGACAACTTTTCACTTTAAATAAGGGTATAATAGGAAAAAAATTATTGTCCTTTCTTGATTTGTCAAAATGGACAACGAAATAGGGACAACTAAAAGAGGAAATATGGACAACTAAATAGGGACGGAAGGAGTATAAAATATGACTTTTTCATTCATTTTTCATCAAATCAATTCATTGAAAAAACAAACAGTGAGAAACAGATTTTTGAAATATTGGGAAACCTTCTAAATTTTATGTATGAAAACACTACTATTTTTTCTTTTCTCACCAATTCAATGAAAATATATATGGAAATAGCCATGAAAATTTTCAATGAAAAAATAATGATTTTTGATCTTTTACTATTTGGATGACTTCAATATTCCAGCTGGGATCAAATTGCCCAAACATATACGTACGATTGTCTAGTTGACGAGTGTACTTATGTAAAAGAATAAAAAAGTTGTCCCTTTTCTTTAATGAGTAAAACATTTGAAAGTCTGTAATAATACATTAAAAAAAAAAAGAACTTCTACAAGTTCATTGGCTGAGGCGTATTTTCGTTATATTTGGCGCACTACTTGGGAATAAATTTTAGGAACAATAACAGTAAGTCAACAAACCATACAAATTTTTGTTTATAATTGAAATGAAAAATTCAATACTAACACATAGAGAAAGACAAGTATAATCGTTGACATCAATTTTATTCTTGTTAATAATATATAGTTTACTGTCATTTTTACAGGCTTGCAAAGAAATGGAAAGAGTTGTAGATTAAGGTGGATTAATTACTTAAGGCCAGGCTTAAAAAGAGGGGCATTTAGCTTAGAAGAGGAAAACACAATCTTGACTCTTCATGCCATGTTTGGCAACAAGTAAGAAAACTGTTTCAATTTTGCGTTATCAATCATTTTATTTTAAAGTTTAACGTGTCAGAAATCACACATGATAAGTTTTTTTTTTTTTACACTATCAGGTCATATTAATGTGTAATTAGTATATTTTCAACAAATCGACCATAATGTCTAATTACTCTTCTGGAATTCGAAGAGGTAGTAGTCAACTTTGACTATCTAACACCATTTTAAATTAGAAATATCGTACTGTTATATGGTGTTGACATCAAAATAATACTACTATTCAATAAAAAATCACCTACTAGGCTGCCCATTTAACAAATATTGTTACAATAGTCGGCAGACTTTTTCTAATAAACATGTAACATGACATTTTATTGTCGATTTAACTTATACATATTGATAACGTTACATCTGATTACTAAAGTTTTGTACTAATAGGTGGTCTCAGATTGCACAACACTTGCCTGGAAGAACAGATAACGAGATAAAGAATCACTGGCACTCGTATTTAAAGAAAAGAGTGTCCAAAATGGCAGAAAATGAAGGGCACACTAAGTCTGGGAAAACAGATTCTTCACCTTCTTTAAAGAAATTGACTCCACAGAATTCAAGTTTGGATTCATTTGAACATATAGAAGGATCATTAGCAGATTCAGATCAATCTGTTTATCCAAGAGAGACTCAAAAGAGTAACTTACCTAAAGTATTATTCGCGGAATGGCTTTCGTTGGATCAATTTAATGGACAAGATTTTCAAAACTCAGGGAGTTTTGAACCTTCCAAGAGTAACTTTGGGTATAATAATGCAGAGTTACATGACATATTCATGCATAGTTTACCGATGAACAACGATGGTAGTAGCTATGGGAATGGCGTAAATCAAGAGGTTCACAATGATATTTTCTCACCACAACTCAAGTTTGAGGATACCATTTCTGGTAACGGATTTGAGGAATTTATGTCAGGGGAATTCAACATTAACGACGATGTGATGTTCTTATGATGAGTTCTCTTTTAGAATTTTATACAAAATAGAAGAGGTAATAAAGTAGTAACCATACTGTTTGGTTACCTGTTAACGCGCATTTTTACTGTAGATGCCTTCTCCTTTTCTTGTATTTCATGGTGTACAAAGCTAATTCATTCCATCTGTAATAATAAACTGAGATTTACATTGCAAACTTGACGATTGTTCCATGTTGAGCACTTAACATAAAGAAACTGGATAACAGAATGACGATCAAACAAGCTGGACGATATATATTTGGAAGAGTAACATAGTTTTTATTGATTTCACAGATGATGTTTTGCACAAGGTGCTACAAGTGCCAAGTAGTCTAATAAGTTAACAATTTAAGAATCAATACATTAAGTGATCGATTGATCTACTGGACACATATGAATGAGGCATCAAATCCCAATAATAACAGTATGAACAATTTGTTAGTTGCTTATGTCCACTTTCTTGACTATGGCTTTAGAAAGTACAAAGTTCAGTTCACCATTATCGAAAATCATCTTGGAGGATTAAGCCGGTCCATAGAAGAACAGAAGCAACAACAAGAAGGATTGTAATCGGTGTCCATTTCAGCGCGATGATCTGGATGCCAACGAGTAAAATTAGAACCTTTTTGTTTAGTTGTGTCAAATATAACAAGATTAATTATCATTGATCAATGTTATTACCACATACCTCAAGCCTTTTAGACTCCCAGACTGGAGAAGTACTTATGTGAGCTTCCATCATTCGTTCCATCATTTCTACGAACATTTTGTAATAATCGAATGAATCATATGATATAATTCAAGTTAAATGAAACAGAATTTTAGTGTAACCATATGACAAGCTTACCTACTCTTCGCCTTCTCTCTGTTATTAGTGACAATTCCTCTGTTGCGATATCTAATTCCTTTTGACGATGAGCATTTAGTTTAGATAAATTTGCTTGTGTTCTTGTATCCACATATTGCTTCCTAATGTTGCCAATGATATTATCTGTAAAACAAAGCCAAACATGCAAAAAGGAACAATAGATGTAAGTAAACATAGACCAACTTATTGCCTAAACTTTAGGCTTAAAACAGAGGAATACTCTGTAGTTAAACTAATGCAGCTACTATAAATACTCCCTCCGTTAATTTGTTTGTCTGGTTTTGATTCAGTACGGAGTTTAAGAAAGTAAAGGAGACTTTTTAAACAAACGATATGTAGGATGAACCAAAATGTCTTTTAATCTAGTCAAATAGACTAGAAAGGAAAGTTAGACAAACTTAATTGAAACGGAGGGAGTACTAAACTATGATGAGCATTTTGTATATTACCAAGTTTGATGAAGGTATATGGTTTTGTTATTCTGTCAACAAGACTGCTATCTAATCTTTCAAACTCCTGCTGCAAATCTTGTAGATAATGGAATGCAAGCTTTCTTGGGTACGACGACTCGCACAACATCAGGTAACAAATCCCATTTGCAACCATGTAGCTAAATATGAAGTAGCAAAATAAGGACACAATTGTAAAGAGCTAATTGTGGAATGTAAAACTACAACATAGCTAAAGCAAAAGGTGACAAATAAACTGAAGAACTAAAAGTAACAGAGAAATGATATTATAATTTCTGATAACTGAGAAATCTTCAGGCCTGTTGGTGCATGATTCTAAATAGGTGTTAGAGTGGGTTAGATCCCACATCATTTGGGGAATGGTCCAACGGTCTGCTTAGATGGATTTGGGCAATTGTTCCTTGCCTCAAGAAGGAGCTTTTAGGGTTCAAGTTAGGCTCAGGTGTCAAATCTTGCACAATAGAATGTATAAGGGATCGGCCCTCTACTATCCATCTAATTCACACATCATATCATGCACTACTTGTCTACTTCTATCGATGAGTCAAGACCCTCATGAGGTATAAGGTTGACTAAGATGGTCAATTGAATATCCTTTCGTTGTATAATATACTGTGCATACAAAATACTACTGCGGATATAGGTCAAGAATTACTTTTATAAATTAAATCTTGAATACCCCTGGAATGTTAGTATATACCAATTTACTTACTGTTATTGCTAAAGTGAAAGTGTTTGTAAAAGAACTAAATAAAGGAAAGTCACATTCTTGAATCTTGATAGACCATTAAAGAAAGCCATATTAATCTTGGTAGGATTGATTTCATCCCTAACCAGAGGTCTTAGAATTGAATCCTGAATATGACATTTTACCTCCTAATATGGAACTTTCAGACACAAATAAATCCAAATTTAATTGGTTCTCTTAAGGTAGATACTGGACACCAGGCAAGAAACTAAAAAAACATGCAAAATGAGATGTAATTAAAAGTAGATGAAAGAAAAGAATACTTGAAGCTATGGTGATCTACAAGAATGGTCATCTTGGAAGATGGCAAGGCTTGTAAAGAAATTTCCTTGAGAATGAACTCAGCTTGTTTCTTGTAAGTTGTTAAAACATCATTATTCTCTTCATGTAATCTTGGACCTTGTGCTAAGGGCATCCCATCACTTACCCTCCCTATAATTGTCACTTTCACCATCCCTTAATTAATAGTAACAAAATACTACTAGAAAGTTCTCCTTTTTCTTTCTCTTTTCTTGTTAGTCTTTTTATCTTTTTTCTTTGGCTTTGATTTGTGATATATTTGTGAGAGAATTGTAGGTGGTTTTTGGCAATTAATATGGTCAACATAATTAATGACTTATGGGTTTTATAAGGAGTAAATGGGGTGAAGGAGGAAGGAAATGAGACTAAGAATATTGAAGGGAAAAAAGAACTTGGGAGTGAAGTTATTCTTTGTTGTGATCAAAAGTTGTGTACACGCGGTTAAGGAAAAAGAGCCTAAACAAGTCCCTAGCTAGGGTGGCCAAAAAGTTTACAATGATCCAAAAGGAACAAAACGAAATGCAGTACTCTCCGTCTCAATTTATATGATATAATTTGATCAAATACAAAAAAAAAAAAAAATTATTTAAAACTTGTGATTTATTATATTAAGTCATAGATATTTATGTAATTATAAATCATTTCAACAAACATTTTAAGATCAAAAGTTGTGTACACGCGGTTAAGGGGAAAAAAGGCTAAACAAATCCCTAGCTAGGGTGGCCAAAAAGTTTTAGGAGGATCCAAAAGGAACAAAATGAAATATAGTCGCTTTATTTAGTTTAGCTCCAATTATAATTATAATTTATACTATATAATATATATTTTTATATATAATTTTGAAATACTTAAGTTTTAAAATATTAAGTTGATTTAATTTATTATGGTGAACAGTTTATCCATTACTTTTCTACTCTCTTTTTTTTTCCTTTATGGACTTGAGAAGAAAATTTGCCACCACGCCTTCAACTCTAAGAAAATTATAGTTGACCGAGGTAAAACCATGACAATTTATTATTTTCTCCATTTTATTTTTATTTAAAATAAAAATAAATATATATTTTTTAAATAATAAATAATTAATAGTTAAATGATCTTTCTTCGTATTTGCACTTACATTATAGAGCAACTTTCACATATAGCAAACACAAAAATCATATTTGTATATTATATCTATAATTTGCATAATTGCTCTCAATAACAAACTTTATGTTTGCTATGACTATTAATATGTATATTTCGCCAGAGGCGGATCTAGGATTTCGAGTCACTGGGTGCCAAGCAGAGGCGGACCCACATGATTTGATAGGGGTGCACCCGTTAACTTCGAAAAAATGTGCTTGAGAAACGTATAATCAACAATGCACCTATAAGAAGCGTAGGGGTGCCCTTGTGTAGTTGGTACAAGCCAGAGGAACCACTCGCGAGAATACAATTTAAATCTACCTAGAAGCCTATTTCATTATTTTTTTATTTTAAGTTTAGCTTAGAGCTCATATTTGAGTCATTAGTGACCAAGCAAATACTACATTATCCGTTAATTGTAGTAAAAGTTTCGCTAACTACCTAAATTAAGATAGTATTGATGCACCGAAATCTTCAAATTTTGGATTAGCCTCTAATGCCCAGAAGACTCAGATTAAATCAACTTTAGATTCAGATAGAATTATTCGTCTTATGGACGGATGGGTGAGAAGGATTTGGGCGACGGACTGAAGACTGAAGGCTGAAGGCTGAAGCTTTGATTAATGACAGATTTTTGTTGTTGAAAAGTTTAAAGGAACAACGAGGGTTTCAATGGTGAAGAGAAAAAAAATTTCTTTACGTTTAATCAAATAAAAGAAAAGTCCAAAAGTTAAATTAAATTAGTTAAAAAATAATTATTGATTAATACTTAATAATAATAAGTTAACAAGTAAAAAAAATTCAAAAAATACAAAAGAGAATGTGCCTTGTAGTAAAGAAATGTTGCCTGTAGTTCAAAAAAAAAAACAAAAAAGGCAGCCTGCAGTTGAAAAAAAAATCAAAACAAAAATCTGTTAGTGGGGTTTGATCCCGCGAACTTAGACACAAAAATCTAATCGCCTACCACTGGCACCAGAGATCACTTTTGTTCACTGGGTGGCATGTTTATTATTTATACATATGGTGCATATATATACCTATATAAATAGTGTTTCCGTCGAAACTCGTGGGTGGCGTGGCACCCCCACGGGACTTAATAGATCCGCCCCTGTATTTCGCTATACATATATACAAAAGAAGCAATTTCGCTATACATATATACAAAAGAAGCAATTGTATAATCAGTTTCGGTATACATATACAAAAGAATTAATTGTATAATATGTGTTTGTATAAAGCGAGAAAGAGTGAAAAACAAGAAATCTGGGCAGGGGAAGATCGTATTTGTATAATAATAAGTGTATAGGACGAAAATATATGCATTTGTATTGTATATACAATTTTCTCTCGCTTTATACATATACAAACACAAACACAATGTATACATTTGTGTTTGTATAAAGTGAGAGAGGCGAGTGAGAGTGGTGAGCGAGATCTGGGAGAGGAGAGAGAGGAAAACGAAAATATATGTATATATACAATTTTCTCTCGCTTTATACAAAAACAAACGCATTTTATACATTTGTGTTTGTATAAAAGCGAGAGAGGCGAGGGAGAGACTGCCGAGAGTGGCGAGCGAGATTCACCAGGGAGAGAGGCGAAATAGCAACAGTTTGCTATTGGTACAATTAAATCAAATATGTCATTTAATTTGAATTAATATTTGGGCAAATTACAGAAATCACATACTTTTAAGGCAAAATTACAATCTATCCCTTAAAAGTTTATAATTACAGAAATCCCTCAAACGGATGCAATAATATAAGCGCTGATACATTAATCTGATGCGCGAGATACATTAATCGTTAAGTAAGATATATTACATTTTATACATGACACACTAATCTGATGTACATTTTATACATGATACACTAATCTAATGCGCGAGATACACTAATCTGATGCGCTGGTACATTAATCTGATGCGTGAAAATGAGGGATTTTGGAGATTTGTAAAACTTATAGGGGATAATGGTAATAAGTAAACTAAAATGTGGGATTTCTGTAATTAATCCTTAATAGTTTGCTATTATATATAATTTTCCAACATTATAAGTGCAAATTTGTTTTACAAATTAATCCCCTTAATCCAAATCAAAAAGAGTTGGGGCCCGTGTAACGCGTCGCCACTTTTGGGCCATGGTGGGCTTGACACTTGACAGGAGCATTATTGGGAGGCCAAGCTTGTAGGGAAAATTCACGATTAAGCAAACATGTAATAGTTAATTAGCTAATATAGCTATACTTTACATTAATTACAATCCGTAACTTACTTCTAGCTATAATTACACTCATCTCTCTCGTCTCTCTCCTCTCTTCTTCTCTCTCTGGAATCTCGCTCGCCTCTCTCTGGAATCTCGCTCGTCTCTCTCCTCTTTTTCAGTCATCTCTCTCACCTCTCTCCTCTCCCTGTCCTGTCTCTCTCTCTATTCTCTTATGTCAATATCTCTCTCACTTTATACAAACACAAATTATACAAACATAAATGTATAATTTTTGTTTAGGTTTGTATAAAGCGAGAGAGACTGGATATACAAATACATATCTCCGCCCTATACACTAATAATTATACAAATACAATAATTTTCCATATCCAGTTCTCTTTTGTCTTTCTCTCTCACTTTATACAAATACAAATTATACAAATACAAATGTTTTAACTCGACTCAATTGTATATGAATTCAATTTGTATGCAGATATACAAATACAATCATTGATACATATACATAGTAATTACATATATACAATTATCTAACCGATATACAAATACAATTCACTTCTCTCTACTCTCTACTCTCTACCCCCTCTCGCTTGACTCTATCCTCCCTCTCCCAATCTCGCTTGCCACTCTCCTCCCTATAACATGTAGCTATGAATTGTAATTAGCAAACTATAGCTATGGAGTACAATTAAGTTATTTTTGAGTGGCTATATGTGAAAATTCTCTGTTAATAATGTATTTTCTTTCCTGAAACAATATTCTAATTTCCAGCGTTTTAACTTGTGGTTAAAGTTACCTATTAATTCGCGCTAGGAAGTTCCACATTGGGGGTAAAGTGCTCCTTAACAAAGGCGAATTCGTACTTAAGGAACTCGAACCCAATACTTTTGATTAAGGATGAAGGAATACTTACCACTCCACCATAACCTTCGTTGGTAACGTTACTTATAATTCTTTGGCTGAAAATATTAGGACAATTCCACTCTAATTATTTGTAAATAATGAGTAACTAAATCGCTTTAATATTCATTTAGGTGAAAAAAATTCTTGCTTTCTTATGAAAATATTTAAAGTACTAATATAATGAGAGGAATACATGTCAAACCTCAAACTATATTTCTTTTTCAAGTTTTATTTTAAAATTATTTTGTGTAAGCTGAAGAAAGAAAAAAAATGAAAAAACGAAGGATAATCCCTTACTTTTGGATTATTTCTTTTACAAAATAAAAAATTGTGAAGGAATCTGAATAAGCACTTTTTTTTTTGGATAAGCAATTGTTAAAGACGTGATTCTTTTAGCGCCTTTATATCCTTTTCCTTTTATTCTTGTTTCTTAACTTAAGCTTTATGTATTATTGTTCCTTGTTCTTATTTATTTTTCTTTTAGTTAATCGAAAAATTATACATGAATATGGTGCTTTTTTCGATCTACCAATAATTTGAACTTTTATGATCTTTTTCTCTCTTTTTTCCTGTTTGTTTAAGTTTTGATTATGCTTCAAATCATTAAAAAAAATATTATATCATCATGTTACTTGAAAACGAACTACAATTAACTTCCCCTTTTTTTTCCCTTTCTTTTCTAGCAATCTCCTCTTTTGTGACTTCAAAGTGTTACTTTTAAGTGTGCATAATAAAATGTTGATGTGTGTGGTGTACCAACACTAGTAAAAGATGTAATGGACAAATTATTCGGTACCTTCTACCTTCCATCAACACTAGTACCAAATACGCAAATGAAAAAATCAATTTATTAGGCTGGTGTCGTATCTAATAAGATTCTAACTTTGGTTTTCCAAGATTGTTACTCTTAACTCTTCGGCCAATAAGTTATCTCTCTCTACTTT